TGAATAGAAAGCTGGGTGGCTGCTTTCGAATAGCATTGAATTATGAGGACTTATCAACATCTTACTAATTGAGAGATCATTGTTCTAAGTACTACTGACTCCTGTATTATTTTCCAAACAACACCTATTTTCATCTATAAAGTAATGCTTTTATAACTTGAAATATCGATATTTTTTCCTGCATTTTACAAGCTATTCCCAGAAGTTTCCTTTATGTTTTCTTCCTTGGGATCCCACTTCAGCAACAAACTAACCTAAACAAAGCATACATGGATATCACAGTCGATTCTGCAGTTCAGTGGCACTCAAGTCAGCTCAGTTACTCCACTTCATGAACCAGTACAGAAGCCTGGGCACACCATGTATCAGGGCTCCTCCTCTAGCACATAACTATGTCTATTGTGAATATGTGGTACAAATAATTCCAACACTTCCAAAATACCTCAGTCTTATCACATGTCACTAGGGAAGAGAGTTGGGGTGCAACTCTTGCTGCTGGAATGATACCTGATTGCAATTCCTGATTAAGTCTCTGCCTATAAATGTCCTTGCACAAGAACTTCCATCTCTGTGTTGACTTCACAGAAGAACAAGAAAGATACGCTGTGAGACATGAAAACTGCCTCAGAGTTAATTGCCTAAAGTTATAATTAAACTCTGGAAGTTTGTGGTAAAACCATAAAGCCTCCAGAGGTCAAAGCCAGCATCCCAACCACTAACCCAGCTTTCCTCCTGCACTTTCCACTGTGAAAAGGTGAGATGACACGTTTCTTTCAGTTTACTAACAAAAGAAATTAACACACTCTCTACATCTGGAAAGAACAATCAAATCCCACTGTGGAATAAGACTATCACATACTAATCCCCCTAACATAAAACATAAAAATAAAACCACTGCTTCACATCAAAATCCATAAAACCCACTAGTCCCATCCTACTCACTATGTAACAAAAGAGGCCGTCCTGATTGCATCCACACGGTTGTATTTAACAACTAATTGAGGGCCTTTTCCTCCAGTAACTCCTAGAAACTAAGTCATTTCTTTTTGGTCGTCACAACAACCCGTGACAATTAACAGCACGGTTTTACTTTCGCTGTAATAACACCACCACCCCCCGCCCCTCCGCTGCTTCTACTTTAAAAACAGATACTAAAAAGCGCCATCTCCAGCTTACTCCTTCATTTCAGATTTTAAAAGCTTTTACTTTACCTTCCCCTCCCCTCCACTTACGTACTTGTTCCCCGAAGAGGACCCCGGGCCGCAGCAGCCCC